AATGTTGACGGCTCTAACAGCATCCACGGCCATAGCCACCATAGCCACCGCCGTAGCGGTAGGGCGCAAAAGGACCACTGTTGCTCCAACCGTAGGGTGGCACAAAGTTGCTGCCACAAGTGATCCAAGAGCTGGCAAAATAGGGCGACATTAGTGGGCAAAGATACAGCAAATGGTGGACATTGTCCGGATAAAACGCAAAACTCACTGGCCAGGGAAGAATCCGCATGGATCGGTGACATAGTCAGAGCAGACGGTACGGCAAGTCATTTTCGTCAAAGTTTCAACAGCCACTGCAACAAACGATTCCAATGTCTGGTCGAGTCTGATGCCGCTTTTATATCCGGACGGCATCCGGTATGAAATGAGGCCTCGTCGCTGATTGGTCGACCGAGTGACTACTTATGCATATAAATGTCTATAAGTAGTATGACATGACAAAATTTGTCAACTAGTCGAGGCTATAGGCATAGAGAAGAAGAAATTCGGGCAGATGTGACTTTGTCCAGTCGTGCTCTGTCTGTAGAGGCAGGGGAGGAGAGTGAAGCGAAAATACGCAAAAGAAAAAGCATTTTAATTCCGTTTTTGACGGAACATGCGGTGCTCAGTCTGAGACGGTCGGCTGTGTCTGTCTGCGCACACAATTCGGCTGAGTTGAAAGTGAATGCGCAGGAGGCAGCAAGTAGAACGTGCCTTCTGCGAGGCAGCGGAGTGACGACAGTGTGAATGTGGCTTGGCGCATAAAAGGGCGGGCGTCATGGAAAAACTGTGAATCCGGCCGGTAGGTAGTTGGATCGGATTGGCCAACGGCCGTCTCATGGCAACAGCTCGTCCAGCATCAGCTGGGCCAAAGCTTGTGCCAAAAGAATGGGGAAATTGCTGTACATGAGCCCTTTGAAACTTCTGAATGGTGCCTCGTTGCTGACCAAATGATGATGAATAGGTTTGAGCAAATCTCATGAAATGATAGTTCATACACGAAGTTCTTGATGGAGAAATGTACAGAAAAATACAACCAATTGAGCCCGAATGATAGACTTAGAGGAGTAGAGGGAAGGAGAATGAGAGGTTGACCGAACGACAAGAATACGGCGAAATAAATGACATTTACTTTCGTTCTAAGCATCAGTTTATTCAGAAACTATCATATGATCATGAATGAGCTATGCTTATCCCAAAATGATGACATTTCTGATCAAATGGAAAGAGCCAAATTGTAAGGAACAAAATTAATCATTATAATACATCCTCACGCGAATTAACATTTGACACAATACAACCCCAAAAGCCACTTTTAAGGTTGGTACCAATGCACCGGAGGTACTGTCTTGGACATTGTGTCAATAGTTCCCACTTTGGTACTTTCGAGAGGAAAGTTGGATGCTGGGAAGTTAAGATAGGAATTTATCAATTTTTCTTAATCGAGAAAATTATCTGTTGCTAGGTCGGAGAGTAGGGAGGACTCTCCATGTCTAAAATTGGTACCAAAGAGGGCTGCCTGCCACGTTTCTTTCAATGAGGATATCTGTAATTGCAAGAAAGTCGAATATAAACCAATCAGATTTTCAGCCTTTGGATGAAACTACCATGATCACGTACATCATGCATGCATCTTTGGAGGCAAACATCAATGCTCTGCTCCATAAATAACAATTTCTTTTTAGTTTAATCGATACATTTAATAGTTTCCTTGACTTCACCTGTGGGTTCGAGTTCCACCGTAAGAGTGAGTTTTATGAATAAATTAATTTATATCGACTAGATTCGTCATACTTTAAGAATAAGTTTCTATGAGAAACATAATATCATTCGATGGACTGATAAAAAAACTTGATAATTCAAAGCAATT